AAACAAGGAAAACAACCAAGCTCCAAGAAAACATTTTCATCTTAATTTTTACCTCTATAAAATGGCTTTTACAAAAATAATGAGAAAAGTAGATTACATACATAAAGAGGAGATGAAACAAAAACCAAAACACAGAGGCACAATATGGGCATAAAACCAAACCACAGATTAATAGTATGAGCAAGTTCATTATGTGTGTGATTTAAGGAAGTGCCATTGATTTCAAGAGCTCTCCTGACTTAGGAAAAGATGCATTGTGTGCATTGAAACTGAGCCAAAGAAGATGGAGGCTTGATGTGAAATTAATTACTGATGCTTTATGCTGTGTGTTAGCCTGAAGGTCACAGTGAAACCTTCTGGCCTTCAAATGTATGAATCAAAACCTTTCATGAAAGGCTACCACTTTTGGTTGCAGAAGACAGAATTCTGATTTCCTGGTTTGAATCTCATAGTGTTCAACTCCTTGAGCTAAAGGACAAATTTTCTGGAACTGCATAAATCTGACTGTGTAGTGTAAACACTCTTGAAAGTACTGATTTCTTAAAGATGTTTAAGAAATTTGGAATTTTTATTATTTTCTGGTTCCAAAGGGAAGTGAAAAATGAAAGATGAGATGTGTTTGCAAAGACAAAGCAGTAGTGGGCAATGGGCACAAAAGCTAGTATTATCCCTGCTTTACCTCTTGTGTTCTGCTTAGCTTCCTTTCCTCAGTAAGCTCACTGCATTAGCACCTACCACTCATATTTCCCACCACTCACACTGCAGTCTCGTAAAATTGCAAATTTCAATTTTGCATAATCCAGCAATCTTCTGTCAAAGGAAATCCTCAATATTAGGCATGTTGCTGTCTGCTTCATAAAATGCAAAACAGCTGATTGTAAAAAATAAAAATTTAAAGCTCTCTCAAAACCAGACTCCTTTAATCCTTCTGTTCTTCTTAAAGACATGACTCTTTTCCATTATAATGCCTCAAAATTGTATGCACAAATCTTTTTATTGACCTTCATCCATTTGGCTTAACTTTTCATATAGTTCTTCACTTGCTCATCACAATACCAGAACACATCTCGTGTTCAGTAGCAGTTTTTTTTTCTGTAGATTTATATTTTCTGTGACACTGTGTTTTATCACATGAAGTCTGAAGTTTTATGGCTGATGGGTTCAACTTTCTAATGTGACAGTCTTTTCAATAAATAGCATTTAAGTTTTTAATAGTAGGCTATGTGATAACTATGAAAGCCTCTTTCTTTCCTTTGCTAACTTACTCCTGTGTGTCTGAAATTTTTAAACTGATCCCCTTTAGCTTTTGCTATATTGATGTGTATTTCCTGAAAACTAAAGGTAGATGGCCAATGAGAAATTTGTATTTTGCTGTACTGCAAAAAGAATTTTGCGTTAATTGCATTTGATTGTTTTGAAACTTTTCATAAATATTCTTGCTGGTAAACCCTTTTGTTCTTTATGTCACACAAACAAACCCTTTGATCTTTATGTCACACAAATCTTTCTACAGCTGTCTTATCTGTTTTGGTAGAAGAAAAAGTTCATAATTCTTTAGTTATCCAGAGGATAGAAACTATACAATTAGGTGACTTAGGTAATGAACCATTAAGTTCTGACATCACATTTTGAATATCAAACTCGCAGAAAGGTAAATTATAAGCAAAACAGTCTGAAAACTGCTTGCTTGATAAAGTCTGCATGAACTGTTCCCCAAACAAACTAGAAAATTATTTTAACACCCCCCCCCCCCCCCCCAAAACATTTTTAAAAATAAAAAAAAAAAAAAAAAAAAGAACAAA